CTGTCGTCCTCAAAAAAATAAGGGCCTACGATGCCATGCGCTGACATAGCAGCCCAAACTGTAACTTTAGGGCTGTGTAAGGGCTTCTGATGCTTACGCCTTGGATTTTCGGGGCTCCAATAACGGCAATTTTGTTTATTTACATGCCCGTTTAAATGGAAGTGAGCCTCGTCCGAGAACAACACATTATTGAGCGAAGAAAATCGATTCAACATTTCATTCGCAAAGTTTAGTCTCTGAATAGCGTCATTATCTTTTAATTCCTGCACTAACTGAATTTTGTAAGCGTGCAGACGTAAATCTTTCCTTAAAATCCGCTGTAAAGATGTTCTGGGTACGTTTAGTGCACTGGAACGCTTACGAGTAGACTGGGTAGGATTTTGACGAACAGACTGTGCCACAATGTTGATGTTTTCTTCAATACGAGTTGTCCTTGGTCGACCCCACCGCTGTTTATCTAACGTCGAACCAGTCTCTTCGAACTTAGCAACCCAGTTCTTAATCGTTTGAGCTGTTGGACACTTTGTAAAATTGTGGTATTCTCGATATTTACGCCGCGCAATGGTTGCCGAATCATCATTTTGATAAAACGCGCGCACACAAAAAGCACGATCCGCCCCAGTGAAACACTCCATGGCGACTGAATTCCCAGATACTGAAGATACTGCCCCCACCTCGCCCGCGCCGCTCACGCCCACCCGTTAAATTTTATTCAAATTTGAAATTTCAAAGGACTTATGGACCACCCTGTATTATTGAATACATAAGTTGCTTTCCAGTGTATTTATTGGTGCTGAGCATGGTGAGTTACTCCGAGTAGCTCAACTGGGTCACTGAAAAGCAGCTCTATAATGCACCTAAAAGGACCCCACATGTTATGCCTATGATAGTTCGAGATTTGGTCAATTTTTAAGAAAATTTAGTATGTGATTTTAGATATCTTGATGAAAAATGTCCATGGGCACATCTTGATCCTTTGACTAACACTTATTGATTTTGTTGAAATGTGACTTTTTCTTAGTAGTACACTTCAAGGCTAGTTATTTATGGTCTTATGAATACCTTTATACTCAGCCGGCACAATAATGTTTACTAGTCAGATAAATTAAGCTATGTAATTATCGAAAAACTTACCCTTTTCCACAAAATAAAAAAACACTCAAATAATGAACCACTTGGAGATACAATGGAAGCACGCTATAATAGTAACAAGTAAAATGGCTGCCGGCAAACGAGTCGTCTTAGGCGGCTTGCTCTTATTCCATTGGTCGCTCGAGGTCACACGCACATGCGCCGCGCCGTAGCCGAAAATATTTAATGAATATTTTCTAAATATTGGAGTTTTAATATTTTCCATTGATTTAAACGTAAATATTTAATGAATATTATAAAAAAAATATTGTATTTAAAATATTTAAAAAATATTGAATAAATATTTAATAAAAATATTATATTATAAATATTTATTAAATATTTGTTTAGGAAAACAAATATTTAAGTAAGATAAAAATATTATTAATTATTATATAAATATTTAATGAATATTTCCTGCTATCGGGGTTCTTACCAACTTTTGGTTGCATTTCTATATTTTTTCATTATATTTTTCAATTTATTTTGTTTGTCACAAACCTTTCTAGAAATATGACGTTTAACAAAAGTTTTTACTAGATCTAGTGAAATTTCACTAGATCTGGCAACATTGACCAGCAGCAACACTGCAGCGTGCTGCAGGCTATCAGTGTTGACAGATCGTTGAGGCTAACAGCCGTCGTTGTAGGTTGCAGCCAGTGTTACCATACGTAGCGGAATTCCGCTATTTGTAGCTGATTATTTTGAGAAGAGCGGCGTAGCGGCGGTAGAGCAAATTAGCCCAAAATGTAGCGGAATTTATTACATACAAAACTATCATATTTATTTCACTGTTTTAACGTTAATAACGTTCTAAATCCTAAATAGGCAGTGGCTAGAGTCTGATTCATTATGAAATTAATAATAAAATTGGTGCATTTGGTGCCGCTTGAGCCATCTAGGAACAGAGAAGAGAATTATTCCACTTGCCTTTTTTTTCAATAACAGATGGCGTACGTACTGCTTTCAATACTAATCGTTTCTAACAGGTCTCAGCAGGCAGACATAATATTAGGTTTTTCGCTTTGTATTGTATTTTTCAGCTCTGGGTATATACTGTCTAGTTTCGTTTATATTAGTGTTCTTATTTTTGTGTTGATCATTTTATTGATATATCATTTGCTGCAGATTTTAATATTAAATCTACTGGTAAGTAACAAAACTGCTTAAATATCTAACATATTATAGTTTGATCCAGAAATAAATCTTAGTCGCGAAATTTGTTTTTAACGTTTTTTCTTCTGGAAAATAGGAATAATGGAAAGGCGACACCAGACCATTAACAATTTTTTTGATAAAAATCCTTCTAAAAAACAAACGGTGAAACCAAACGTGGCGGTACCATCCACTTCGATTGCATCTGTGTCGGACTCGGAGCATCCCGAACCTGAATACAGACAAAATAGAAGAGCGGAATCTAGTGGAATCAGGTCTGAGCCTGATAATTCGACTTGCGAATCTCAGGATAACCAAGAGCCAGAGCAACCTGTTAAGAAAAAGACACGAAAACAAATGTTTACTTCATCATGGCTAGAAGATCCGTTATTTAAAGACTGGTTGGGACCTATTGAAAATGACAAGTTGAAAGCAAAATGTAAAGCTTGTAATCAAATAATGGGTGCTAAAAAATCAGATTTAGTGAATCATTCGAAATCAAAAAGGCATGCCACTAATGTACAAGCAATTTCGAATTTAAGAACGTTAGATAGCACTTTTCAGTCTCGAGAAGCACGTGAGTTGGAAAAACGGCAAATATTTGCTTGCTTAAGATATAGTCTTTTAGTTGTAAGTCATTATATAAGTTTTAGAACTGTTGATCATATAACAGGAGTTAGTCAATTATGTTTTAAAGACCCAGATCTCTCTAGCTCACTTAATTAAAAATGTGCTGGCTCCTTTTATTAAAGACGAAATAATTTCAGAATTGGAAAATAAACCATTTTCTATTTTATTGGATGAGAGTACAGACCTGAGCAATACAAGACTACTATGCATTCTTGTAAGGTATATTCATAAAAATTCAATTAAAACCCATTTATTAGATATAATTAAAATAAACGCAGATGAAGGTACCGCCAAAGGTTTATATTCTCTTTTTAAAAAATGCGTTATATCCAATCAAGTAAAAATTACCAATATTGTTGGATACTGTTCCGACAACGCTAGTGTTATGATGGGCAATAACGAATCTTTCAAAACTTATCTTTTGAAAGATAATCCTAATATAATTGTCAATGGCTGCATTTGCCACTCTGCTCATTTAGTGGCGGTGGCGGCAGCTGAAAAGATTCCAAGCAACGTTGAAGCTCTTTTACAAAACTTATATTCTTACTTCTCAAGAAGCCCAAAAAGGCAGTGTGTTCTTGAAGAATTACAGGAATATTTCAAGAAGTCAAAATTAAAAATTTTAAGCCCTAGTAAAACAAGGTGGCTTGCTTTATCCAAATGTGTTGATAGAGTTTTGGATCAGTGGGACATCTTGCTTAGCCTATTTAGATTAGCTTCCATTGAAGACAAAAATCCTGTAGCAAATGTAATACTTAATGAGTTACAGAATCCATTTGTTAAGGCGTATTTAATGTTTTTTAAATTCGTGTTGCTCATTTTTAACCAATTTAATGCTCTCTTTCAATCAGAGAAAGTTATGCTCAATATCATATCAATAGAGTGAGCGATTTGTACGTCATCTATGTACAAACTTTATGCGACCAGAATATTTTAAAAATGAGAAATTATATAATCTAAATCCTAATGATCCCCACTGCTTATTACCAATTGAACAAGTGAATGTTGGTCCGCATACAATGGATGCAATAAAACACTGCAATAACACGGCAATCGAACAATTTAAATTAAAATGTATCACATTTTACCAAAAATTGGTAGAAGAGTCCCTTCAAAGATTTCCTATCAAAGACAACTTCTTTTCAGAGCTAAAGTTTCTCTCACCGGTTGATGTGATGAACAATCGTCTTATTATAAGTGATACCTTTCATGACGCCGTTTTAAAAAAATTTGCCCTTCATATTGAAACCGCAAAGGCAATTTTGGAACTAAAAAAAAAAAAATGTGTTTATTTTAGTGATAGTGAGAAAGAGGAAATTTTAAAAACAAAAAGTAATGTCATTGAATTTTGGTCGTTTGTAAACGACCTCAAAAATTTTAATGACGAATATTTATTTCGCAATATAGGTAAACTGGCTCTAATCATTTTAACATTGCCTCATGGAAACGCTGATGTTGAGCGAACTTTTTCTTATATGCTTGATTACAAAACAAAAAAAAATAAAATAATACCATCAACTTTGTCTGCACTACTTACAATTAAATTAGACTTGGAGAATCAAAAAAACAGTGCTGTTTATCCTATAGTTTTAATGAGAATCATTTAAACAAATATAAAAAGAATTTATATAATGTAAATAAGGAAGAACAAGCTGAAGAAGAAGTAATTTCTGATTCTGACTGCGAATAAAATAAGCAGACGTAGGCATTTCCACGTTTCCGCTTCTTCTTTGTCCTTATTTTTGTTTTTTTTCTATTAAGATTAAGATATTGGTGATAGTTTCTATTTTTTTATTAGTTCCTAATTCTAAACCAAAGACAGTTTTGTTTTTTTAGAGGTATACTTTTTATGTTTTTACGAAAAATTGCAATTATATTGTTACTGTTTGTATTTTTAGTAGGGTTTTTAGACAGTGTTTAAAAAAAAGTGAATACGTAAAGAATATATTTGTTGTTTATTTTAAGCCTCCCCCCCCCCCCCATAAATTTTTAGACCGTAGCGGCATGTAGCGTAATTTTGCGATACGTGTGACGGATATTTTAAACTTTGCTCTGGCAACACTGGTTGCAGCGCCATGCGCCACTGTCAACGGTGTCAACCTTGTGTCAACACTTGTGATCTTGTGAATTGTGTTGTGGATAGTTTATAAAAATTAGTTATATCCAGAATATTTTCAAAACTTCCCAGGGCCAGTGAAATGGCTTCTTTGTTGGAAGCCGAGCGCCCAAATATCCGCATTGAGATTGAAAATGATGCGGTCAATTCTGAACAGATGGAGGTAGATGAGGACAGACTGCTGGAAGAAAACGAGGAAGGCGAAATTATAGATGACGAAAACATAGACAGTGTAGATTTAAGGAGCAATTTGCAGATAAGCATACAAACGAAACCAGATATTGTGGTAATTAACACATTCTTCAAAAGTTTACTGAAAACAATTAGGTTATGTTTACATTTTAGGACAAACTAAACACAAAAACTATATTCACCACTGGGATAAACATTTTCGACAAACAAGAGCAAGAGAAGCTACAGGTAATTTTTTGTATATTGCAGAATTCACATCATGACTGAGCAGAAAACATCTCACATTGCAGAAATGTCCACCTTGTGAAATATGTTTTTGCTTTTTTTTTTTTCGTTGTTGGAGAGAACAGTATGCCCTGAACTCTACCACATTTATTCAGCATAACCCAAATTTACCAATATAAAAGATAATATATATCTATACATCAACAAAACAAAAACAAGGGTTCTCAATAATATATGAGCGCCTAAGTTTAAAAACTTGTATGCGCAAAAAACAGACCAAAACAGTAATTAATTGATAAATATTGTGCAATATATATTTTTGTATAATATTTCTCAACAATACAAACAAAACATGAAACATGATATACACAAAATGAAAGAAAATTTCATATTTTCATAGATTTAACTTAAGATCACAGAAAAAAAGTGTCACAATAATATCAAAAAGAAAGAAAAGAAACAAATAGGCAGATCAATCTACCTCAAAGCAACTTAAAATAAACGCATAAATTGTTGAACATATTAAACGAAACATTAAATTTTTTATTATTTCCAATATTCCTGATATTAGCAGGAATCAAATTGTAAAATTTAGGTGCAAGATATGTCACAAAACACAAATTTAAATCTCGCCTGGACTGTGGGATGTTCAGGTTATGTGTGGTGTTTGCTCGGGTCATATAATTGTGGAACACATAATTTGTATTTAATTTCCTACTTGCATGTACAAAACTACATACTGCAAGGATATATAAGATTTTAATATTGTTTATTTCTTGAGAATAAAGTTGCATAGTGGGATATAGTCTAGGTTTTTTTAGAATAATCCTTACAATATGGTTCTGCACCACTTTTAACTGCCCAAGATTTGAACCGTACATCCCACCCCACCCAATAATGGTACCCACAAGTGCTTTGTAAATCATTAATGTTCAGTATGTTACGAAGAGCAGCGTAGAATTTATGGATGAAAAATCTAATTTTTTTGCTCAAATACAGCACATGTCGGTCCCACTTCAAGTGCTTATCAACAACAACCCCAAAATATTTAATTTCATTTACTTCTTTATATGCAAATGCTGACAGCATGCAGTGGCAATCACAGAAATACCACATAGCAAAATTTGTTTTGTAGCTGTCATATTGTATGATCACAGTGCAGTGAGGCAATTAAACTATGACATGTATGGAACCATATGTTTACAATGCAAAGTGATTTAGATTTACCATAATAAGCCCTAGTGGCCTGAACACTTTTTTGTAGATATCCTTAGGAAATAGCTTTTATCCTTAATCAGGGATGATGGCAACTCACTTTTATCAAACCATCTCACTTTTCATTAAAAACATTTCTTATTGTGGTTTATGAATGTTTTAGAAGGAGCTGTCCTTCTTCTCTCAAACCCCACAAAATGAAATGAAGAGAATTTTTTTATAAAAATTAACTATGACAACGTTGTTCACATACAGGGTTCTCCACAAGCTGAACCAATATGTATTACATGAGAAATCACTGGAATTATACTATATACAGGGTGTCCCAGAAGTCGACGTCAAGCCGAAACCGGGTGATAGGCAAAGTCATAACAGCTATCAGAAAAATATTTAAAAAAATTTTATGTATGTGTTTTGAAAATTATAGGTCTTTGAAAAAAATATAGAAATTTCACACCCTACGGCAGTCTGTCAACTCCTGTTACTACAAATATTAACTTTTTTTGGATTTTATTTTTACAATGTAATGATAAATAATGCATCTTCAAACTGGTGTCTCAACCTTACTGCCAACTTTTCTCGTTCAGGAAAAATTGCCACTTATTTCCCAACCAAGTATTCCAAAGTAAAACTTTGCTCAACTTTAACTGGCTGTACTGGAAAAAAATGTACTACGAGAGTTTGGCAAGTAACCTTAAAAGTTGGCGCATTTAATAAGGATTCCAAAATGGTATAACACTTAGAAGATTACTCGTTAACTTATGCACAATTTTTATTTGAAGAAAAACTGATGAAAATTTTTCAAAATTTCCTAATTAAACAGCGATTATGAAAATGCATAAGGACCCTTAAGGATAACTGTTTGCACAACAGTGGGCGTCAAAATGCTGCTGATGATGATTTACCTTTACAGCAAATGCTCAAACTGTTTTCCTTCAGCCGCAATACACGCTCGACATCTTAAAAAAGATCGAGTTATTAAACGAGCGAATCCACGGTTATTAACAAACTCAGCTGATTCCAATAGTCTTTGCCGTAGCTCAGCTACATTTTGAATCGGCTTGAAATACACTTTTTCTTTTACAGTTCCCCAGTAAAAAATCTAAAGGATTCAAATCAGGTGATCGGGCTGGCCACGGTATTGTACCAGACCGCCTTATCCATCTGCCTGGAAAGTTTTGATCGAGATACTCTCTCACTGAGAGTGCATAGTGCGCTGGGCAGCCATCATGCTGAAACCACATGTCCCTGTAAATACTCAGTGGCACGTCCACCAATAAATTTTGTACATGATTTTTCAAAGAATCCAAATAAACTTCAGCAGTCAAAGTCTCTGGGAACTCAAACGGACCGATTATTTTACCATTTAAAATTCCTGTCCAATGGTTTATCTTGAAGCGATATTGAGATTTATCTTCTCTCATCAAATGTGGGTTTGCTACATGCCACTCGTGTAAGTTATGCAGGAAAAATTGCCACTTATTTCCCAACCAAGTATTCCAAAGTAAAACTTTGCTCAACTTTAACTGGCTGTACTGGAAAAAAATGTACTACGAGAGTTTGGCAAGTAACCTTAAAAGTTGGCGCATTTAATAAGGATTCCAAAATGGTATAACACTTAGAAGATTACTCGTTAACTTATGCACAATTTTTATTTGAAGAAAAACTGATGAAAATTTTTCAAAATTTCCTAATTAAACAGCGATTATGAAAATGCATAAGGACCCTTAAGGATAACTGTTTGCACAACAGTGGGCGTCAAAATGCTGCTGATGATGATTTACCTTTACAGCAAATGCTCAAACTGTTTTCCTTCAGCCGCAATACACGCTCGACATCTTCTTAGAAAATATCGAGTTATTAAACGAGCGAATCCACGGTTATTAACAAACTCAGCTGATTCCAATAGTCTTTGCCGTAGCTCAGCTACATTTTGAATCGGCTTGAAGTACACTTTTTCTTTTACAGTTCCCCAGTAAAAAAAATCTAACGGATTCAAATCTGGTGACCGGGCTGGCCACGGTATTGTACCAGACCGCCCTATCCATCTGCCTGGAAAGTTTTGATCGAGATACTCTCTCACTGAGAGTGCATAGTGCGCTGGGCAGCCATCATGCTGAAACCACATGTCCCTGTAAATACTCAGTGGCACGTCCACCAATAAATTTTGTACATGATTTTTCAAAGAATCCAAATAAACTTCAGCAGTCAAAGTCTCTGGGAACTCAAACGGACCGATTATTTTACCATTTAAAATTCCTGTCCAATGGTTTATCTTGAAGCGATATTGAGATTTATCTTCTCTCATCAAATGTGGGTTTGCTACATGCCACTCGTGTAAGTTATGCAGGTTCATGTACCCATCTTTCTTAAATGTGGTCTTATCTGACCATAAAATTTTTTCAAAGAACCGTGGATCTTCCCTGTGTCTTTCTAACATTGTGCGACAAAAAGCAACTCGGGGCTCATAATCCCTGGGCAGAAGAGCTTGATCACGCTGTACGTGGTATGGATGGAGCACGTTTTTTTGCAAGATTCTATGGGCTGTACTTTTGGGCACACCTGTTTTTAGTTCTATTGCACGCACTGAAGTACTCGGGTCTTCTTCGACAGCTCCTAGCACCACGTCTTCGTAAGGAAGGAAATATCTTCCCTCACCGTGTGATTGGTTTGGTAGTTGGCCCTCTGAGAACAGTAACCGGTGCACATTTGTGAACACTCGATGATCTGGATGACGAGCTGCATTCGGGTACCTCTCACAGTAAAGTCTCGCTGCAGCACTAGCGTTGCATCTGCATTCCCCATAAATGAGGTGCAGAGAAGAAAGATGGGTACATGAACCTGCATAACTTACACGTGTGGCACGTAGCAAACCCACATTTGATGAGAGAAGATAAATCTCAATATCGCTTCAAGATAAACCATTGGACAGGAATTTTAAATGGTAAAATAATCGGTGCGTTTGAGTTCCCAGAGACTTTGACTGCTGAAGTTTATTTGGATTCTTTGAAAAATCATGTACAAAATTTATTGGTGGACGTGCCACTGAGTATATACAGGGACATGTGGTTTCAGCATGATGGCTGCCCAGCGCACTATGCACTCTCAGTGAGAGAGTATCTCGATCAAAACTTTCCAGGCAGATGGATAAGGCGGTCTGGTACAATACCGTGGCCAGCCCGATCACCTGATTTGAATCCTTTAGATTTTTTTTACTGGGGAACTGTAAAAGAAAAAGTGTATTTCAAGCCGATTCAAAATGTAGCTGAGCTACGGCAAAGACTATTGGAAGCAGCTAAGTTGTTAATAACCGTGGATTCACTCGTTTAATAACCCGATCTTTTTTAAGATGTCGAGCGTGTATTGCGGCTGAAGGAAAACAGTTTGAGCATTTGCTGTAAAGGTAAATCATCAGCAGCATTTTGACGCCCTGTTGTGCAAACAGTTATCCTTAAGGGTCCTTGTGCGTTTTCATAATCGCTGTTTAATTAGGAAATTTTGAAAAATTTTCATCAGTTTTTTTCAAATAAAAATTGTGCATAAGTTAACGCGTAATCTTCTAAGTGTTATACCATTTTGGAATCCTTATTAAATGCGCCAACTTTTAAGGTTTACTTGCCAAACTCTCGTAGTACGTTTTTGTCCAGTACAGCCAGTTAAAGTTAAGCAAACTTTTACTTGGAATACTTGGTTGGGAAATAAGTGGCAATTTTTCCTGAACGAGAAAAGTTGGCAGTAAGGTTGAGACACCAGTTGAAGATGCATAATTTATCATTACATGTAAAAAATAAAATCCAAAAAAAATTAATATTTGTAGTAAACAGAAGTTGACAGACTGCCGTA